CAAGCTTGGATTTTTAGTCGTATAGGACCAAGGTTCTATTTTTCCATTGTACTATTGGAACATGATGCCATGGCTTCATTGAATGTCTCACCATGCCTCCGAAGGATGGGAAATGCCAGAAGCAAGCTTGATTCTTTACGGTCTATTTACCTAGCTTTCATTATTACGGACATTGGTAGACTCCTAGAAGCAAGGAATTCAAGTACTTGAGCAGCTACATTGGCGCCCGTACGATCGATGGCGTGATTACGAACCATATAGCTAGCGAAAGCTAGAGGTGCCTTTGCCTATCTCCGGCTCCTGTGACTCAAACGCGACGTCACGCTCGCACTAAAGGACAGTGGCTATAGTGCAGCTGACGTTTAATCATACTCTACCATTCTGAAACATGACCCATCCGGTTGACGGTCATTAAAAGGCTCCTCAAGTTCCATCATCGCTGCCTCCGCAGATAAGGTCACGTCTGGTGAGAGTCTCAAGTGATTAACGTGCTTGTTCAGCATCTCATATGTGGTGCAGGAAGAGTTCATCGCTCAACACCATCATATCACGCGCCAAGCCCCATCGCTTGGTTACGTGTTGTGCATGACAGCACCCCAACTCCCGCTAGGTGCACTGGTTGTTCACCGGAATGCGGGTAGAAGAGGAGGAGGTGAGGCACGGCGATGACTTAGTCACTAGAAAGGAAAACCAGTACTTCGGAACTGGCGTCGGTTTGTGCACCCCGACTACTTGGCCGACGTCCTAAGGACGAAAACCCCTTTGGTTGGACATGTTTACTGAGATTGCAAAGTGCTAGCCCCAATAGCGAGTGTGTCGGGACTTACTTCGCCCAAAACCCATCCCTTTAGATTCCCCTCCAATGATCAGCATATATAAAACGATTAATTTATTATTTGCTATCGTATCACTTTAAGTTCAATATCAGGACGGCCGCCACATTTTATGAAGAATCTTAATCTATCGAAACTGGTTGATGGAGGTGGGGGTAATATCTGCATGAGACGGTTCCTGCTACGATGGCGTATTCTGATAAAAGAAACCCAAACTGGCCCTTGTGAAAAGGAATACAGCCGATCAAACTTGGAAGTATGGTAGTCGAAGGTGGAATCCATCTACTATATCGCGGAGCGCGTTGAAGGCTGCTCATAAGTTGTAGGCAGCCGGATCAACCGCTTATTGAAATATCATGTGCCACACAAATGCGATTTCCGCCGGTCTGATGCAGTTATCACGAGCAAGTACCCATAAACCTATATCAGTCATTACTCACGCAAAAGCATGTGGTTACTGCACCTTATGATCTGCCTCGTCGAGAGCCAAGTCTAGGAATGTACCTATATTTATTTTGCCATTTACTGTTTGGAATCGCACCTTGCAGTGCGCGTTGTTAGTCTCTTAGCCATTTGTATTGCGGCGCATTAGCTGTAGTGTGTAACCCACCTTCAGCTAACGTGCGCCGATGCCCAGAATGATGCGATCGTGTTGCGCATGTGCCCCTTGTCTGTCATTACCATATAAAGCACCAGGGCAGCGCTTATTAAAAGGCCTTGTCCTTGTCAGTTTATAACGCTAATATTCCGGCCTGTCTAGCTGAACAACCTCCACGTCCTGCAAGCTGGGTTATTCGGGGTGACCCCATTTAAGCAAATAGTTCGGCGTCAGTGTTCCAGGAAGTGGTGGGGTTTCACTTGGCAAACGTTCTCCCCTTAAAAAAGCCACAGATCTCTGTTAAACAACATTGCCAATTCCCTTGCTAATCCCGTTGGGCATAACCAACCCACGGACGTCATTCAGATATCGATAAGCCGGTGCCGCGAGCAAACGGGCAATAATGCAGCGGCACATATAAAAACCCAAGCGACAATGCCACGCACCTAAATTGATACGTACGCATGTATACGCATAAAACATGCAAGCACTGCTGGGATTAACAATTAGTCTTTTACGTTTCCACATCGCTTGTTGCCCTGTTATCCTTGGCATGCCTATATAGACATGCCTCGCATTATCGAGAATAAACTAAGTATAGCTTTTTCATGTTTTCAGCTGAGAGTCGGCTTGGACTACTTGAGCCTGTATTGTAATTGTGCTGATTTGTTGTGTGACATGTAACCCACAAGCAGCGCTTAGCTCCTTAACTATAAAAGTTCAAAGTACTGTGAGATTAGGGTAGCGTAGGCTGACAATCTCTGGGTAAAGGCGTATATAAGGGTGCTAGATGTGAGGTCGGCGTTGATGCCAAGCATACTGAGCCTCGTTGCAGGGTTGACTACCGTCTGCCGTTTCGCAAAGCCTAAGTGTTCGAAGTGCGCAAGTAAAGCTCTACCGATAATAGCAAAGGGGACTGTGGCAACGATGAAATCCAACAGAACATGCACAGAGGATTTAAGTTTAGTGTACGCGACGGATGACCGTAGGTCACCGTTGAATGCAATTTTGTCTGTCGTCAAGGAACTGCTCGGCTCACTTATGATAGGGTGATGACGCGGAATTACGCCCCGGTTTCGACTAAGTACTGCGTTTCGGAATCATAATCCCTAAGGCAGATGAGAAGGAGTGGACTATACGAACAGTGTTGCTCGGCATTAGGCGCTGGTGTGGAAGTTCACTTGCAGCGGAGAAGCTATCTGGCCGCACGCACTTACGTTCTGTAGTAGTGAAACACATATGGTAAAAGTGGTAAGCAAGGCGTAACGTTTTGTGCGACGAGGCGATGGTTTAGCTTGAGAGCGAGGCTTGCTGTCTAGTGTGTTACTCGCTGCGGCGCTGAAGCGAAGCTAGCTCATGAGTGATAAGGCGCTCATTGCCGTCCGCGCACTACTCGCGCGTGTTGTTGAGGTTGCCACGGTGTTTGCCTGGATATGCTCACTTGGTATAGTAGGTCGCGGGTGTCATTCGATGAAATGGTCTGCAAGATCTGCTACTGCTGCCATTACTACTGCGAGCATAGCCATGGTGCTTCCACGCAGGCAATGCATCCATATTACACGGAATACCTCTGCGTCCATGTTGGACGTGCCGACGAGCAAGTGCGTTTATTTGGGACAAAGCTGATGACATCCAATTTCGTAGTTTTAGCTCCTAAACTAGTTAGTGAAGCCGAAGTTAGTCAGGAGACGGTATTCACTGAAGCACGATATCCTGTTGGCTGTTACCGCAAATACTACCAGCTTTCCAAGCACGCGGTATCTGCGCAGGCGCTCGCTGCTTTTTCGGCGACGGTATACCGCTACTTTAGTGTTTCGCATTTATCGGATTTCAGCCTTCTGCAAGGAATCACCCACGCTTAATATTTCCTCCCCATTAACTACCCTACTGGCGAGACTCTGCCTCAGGTTTGACGGCGCTTCTGGCCACGTATCCCGTGGTTTTGAAGGCAGACAATGAACCGCCCATATTTATGAGCGGCCTGTTTATCCAGAATGACCTATACAGTCCACAGCACTTTCCCACAACAGGATACAGCTTTCTCGATCATCTAATGTCTATGAGTTGCCTGGTGGTAGGATCCTTAGTCATTAGTTCTTTATCAGGTCTCTCACGAAGACACGCGGCGTGCTGCTTTAGAAAGCGCACCTGCTTACGAACGTTAGAAATGCGCATTAAGTGTAGAACGGGAGCTAGTACTTTCTAACACTTTCATTATTGAGTAGCTTCTCCGCAGCCGTGCATTGTCACCACAGCGCCACAAATGCAGTCTCTGTAACCAAACAGACAGGTTAAGCGGCATAAATATAATCAATGCCCATAGCCCATCACTACCTTTCCGGTAGACATGAAAACGTAAGTACTTCAAGTAGAAATATGCTATCCCTTTCGAAACCACAATACCACATGGTTGGCGACAAAGACCGGAGGGCACCGAATCGCACACGAAAAATGACGTGCATGGCTGACGTTAAAATGCAAAATAGTCTTCCCTGAATGCATCAAACATAGCATATTCTAGCTTAATTAACTCTTTTACAAACTGCACATCGTCCACGCAAAGTTGTATTCCTGAATTTGAGCTACCGCAGCCGCAATACGCATCCGAACCTAGCGCAGTAGTCCCCTGGCGACAGTGAAAAAGATAGCGTCCATAGCGCTGACAGGTATGGCGCAGCAACATAACAAGCTCCATTATATATGCAACGATCACTTCGTCAAGTCTAACAAGCATTGTAGACAGCTGCCATTTAAATACTTTCGTCAAAATTTCTATTTGTTTTCATACGCGTTGATTAGGCTATACCCGCTTAAGTTTCGAATCGCTCCTTGATTTGCCCGCTACAGCAAGTAGAAGGCTAGCACGCGAACTAAATTAATCCTGACCAGGAACAAGCAACTTTACCGTTACGCAGTTTAAATGCTTGGGATATTCCTTTATCACAATTCCCAGTTAACGTAAATCAGCACAGTCTTGTTTTGCGAGTAAAAATTGTGTTGTCTCTTTTGCACGCCAGTGGGGAACACGTTAAGCAGTACAATCTATAAACGTAACACGTACACGGGAACTAATTCGTGAGGTACTACGTTTTTCATTGTTTGTCTGTGGATTAGCTTCAAAGTCCGCGCATCATTCCAGTGCAACATAACCAAACTAAATTATTGTATAGCTTATAATTTTTTATTTTTCTTTTGTTATACGTTTTAATTAAATAGTAATGCTGTTTTCCGATGTTACAGGTATCACTGGGTGACAGCATGCCAACATGGACAATCAGTGTACAATAAAAAACAGCAATCCGTTAGCCAGATTTTGATGTGATTTTACAAGTTAATTCAGTTTCAGAAACCTGTTTACTCCTGACTTAACTGCCGGTTGTCGAACCAATATACACACAGCTATCGCGCTACTCAACATCGACGGCCTGGAGGTTGAAATTCACTTATCCGCACAAGAAGCAGGACGCTCTTTAGCTGAAAGCCACTTTCGCTCGTGGTATCTGACCTGACCTACTCTAAAATTCAGAAATTGCCGTGACCTCGCCTGACCTACCTTAAAAGTCAGGAAGTGCCTTGACCTCGCCTGACCTTTGTCTGCGACTAGCTGTAGGACTGATTATTATGCGTATGTAGTGCATGCGCTATTTTTCCGGTGTGCTTTCTGCCTGTAGCTTACGTTGTATTACAGCGCGCCTTATGTCAACAATGGTAAGGTCTGTTTATTGATAATATTTGAGTACGTACCGTGGTTTTGTTTCTTATTCATTCCTCTGTCACTTTCGATGAATTGATAATGGAAACGCATTTAGCGGTTCTAAGTGCTTAGACTGCGGCAAAAGAGTCTCCTCTCGGACGATGCCCACGCACTTCAGACTGACCTCGACCGTCTAAACCAGTGGTCCATAGAAAATAACCTTCCATTTAACGCTTCGAAATGTCGCGTCCTTTCTACCCGCCCTCCGCTTTTTCTCCTGTATATTACCTGGGAGCGTCTATCCTGCAGATCTCTTCAGCCGAAAGAGACTTGAGTATCATTACCCAAACGAGTCTTTCCGTATCCGCTTCCTGCCGGAAAGCAGCTGCTGCTAACCACATGGTGGGATTGCTGAAACGAGCCTTCGGTCAAATTGACCCCAGCAATTTCCGCCTTCTTAACGCTTTTCTTCGACCCCACTTGGAGTTCGCTATTCAGGCTTGGAGCCCTTGGGTGTTGAAGGACAAACGCATACTCAAAGCCCAACAACGTCGAGCAATCAAACTGGTCCGAGGTCTTAAGCACCTAGATTATCCACACCGACTTCAGTGCCTGGGCCTCTACTCGCTTAAGTACCGACGTCTACGGGGTGACCTGATACTCGTATTCATGATCTTGTCCAACCCTGGACATCCCTGTCGCCACCTACTCACACTGCACCAATCGGGCTCCCACCTACGTGGCCACCCACTGAGGCTCACACATCAACACAGTCGGCTGAACTGCAGACGACACTACTTCGCTGCGAATCTGCCGACCGTGGAATGCTCTGCCTGCCGATTTAGTCTTGGCACCCACTGTGGCGGACTTTAAGACCCGCTTGGACTGTCATCTGGCCGAGCTACACCGCGATATTCCCTAATTTAACTGCATTCTACTGGATGGAATTTCTTTCTTTTTTTCTTCCACCTACTTCCTTTCCAAAGCCGTTTCGGAGGGCGTGGTGGGATGTCTCGCTTTGAGCCGGCGTGCATTCTGCTTAAATGCCACATAAGCCCGATGAAGATACGGCGAACACGCGAGTCCAACCCGCTATAAGGTTGCTTGGCCTTTCATTAGACCCGACCCGTACTCTTTTTACCCTATGGGTCATGTAAAGCTCGAGCTTTTATTCCCATTAAATACAATGTTCTAAGTGTCTTGGTTTGCCGTGCAAGAAATCTGGGTGCGTCTCGGTTTGGCTCACCAATACTCTGCCCACCTTACATGCACGGTACCCAACAGGTGCGTCGCCACCGCTGAATCTCACAGTAAAGCATTATACTTAGACGTCACCGTGACATGCGCCTCAGGTGTTCCAGCAGCGTTGTGTGCAGTTCGCTCGCGGTATCTCCTATACATACATATTCACAGTTATTGTGAATACATTTGTGAACTCCGTTAGTCATCTTATCTACGAAAGTGTGTCTTTCGGATACACCATTGTTGAACAGATCCCGTGTTTTATTCCTTGGTTAGTGCCGTCGGAAAGGAAAAGGAAGTTCCTTCTATCTATAATATTCCTATCGTCCCAATACATTCCGCTGTATATTTTCAACGTGGTTTTAGCATATTGTGAAACGTATCTTTCACTACCGGTTTCGGGTGTCCACTATTCAGGAATTACCTAACTGTCTACTTCCTTCTCTGTGCACATGGCCTTATCTGTGAAACACAGAGATTGGAATTGTAGTGCTGTGTCCCATCTGTGTCCGTCGGTTGACGAAATATCGGTTCGGAAGCTAATCATTCTTGCAAACAGAGCAGTCAAGAAATGGCGATGTGCTACTCTATGGTGGGCGATTTCAGATTCCTCACAAACTAGCTTTTCTTATCCACTTTTGTGCTCAAAATGTGCCATCCACTACTCTTTTTACCCTATGGGTCATGTAAAGCTCGAGCTTTTATTCCCATTAAATACAATGTTCCAATGTAAAGGTAGTGCAGTGCAATCGGTGCGATATATGCCTACACATAACATGCTGTAAGGTCGAAGCTGAACTTTACTAATGTATAGCGCGTCGATCGTTTGGTATACCTCCGGTACTAGACTAAACGACCAACCGTGAACGTACTGGAGAACACGAAAATAATCTAGGGAAAAGGTTAATAGAACAGGATAAGAGCTGGCTAAGGCTAAAAATTGGGCACCAGAGGAGAGCTAGCCAGGGAAAATGTGGTTGGGCGTCGAGTGCACGGACGGGGCGTTGTTCGCCTTCAAGTCGTGTGTTTCAAACAAACGGGAGCAGAATTTTAACAAGCAAACCGCTTAATTCCCTAATACATAAGAAATCTATACTTTTAGAATAGTTTACATAGTTATACGGGGAATCTCCAGCTCACTACTCAGCCCCCCTCCTATAAGGGAAGCGGTGACTGATCCTTCGGTCTACGTGAGTCCTGAAGTCGCGGGCCAGCATTCTGCTAGACCATGTCGTGAAACCTGATGCAGTTGCTGGGGGAGAACCTAGCCGACTTCCACTCTTGTCCTCCCTAAAGGTGCCAAAAAGCACAAAATGAGAGGAAGCTTCCTAAGTGTCAAATGTTCGCAAGTACTTGGTTATCAAATGTTCGCAAGTACTTGGTTATCAAATGTTCGCTTCAGGGTGGTCATCTCCTCGGGTTCATACTTAGAAGCTAAACGGAAACAAGAGCAGTGCCTGGTGGCGAGGGCAAAACCAACAATGACACTTACCGGATAGGGTAAAACTAACGCGGAACGCAACTCTTTTTACGTGCTTTTAAGTCGTTTTCTTTTTTGGGTTTTCAAAAGATTTTGCGTACTTTTTGAGTTTCCAAGACCTTTTGTCGATATTTTTGGCGTTTTCAAAAGCTTTTGTCGTCTTTTGGATTTCGTACGATGTTGGTCAAAAGGGAAAAGGGAAATGAAAGGAAACTAATCCCTTAATCTGGCTGGCCAATGAACGCGCCTACCCGACCTAGTCGACTTGTGCGGATCGGAGGAAGACGTCGTGTTAGATGTTCTTTCGGATTGCAAAGTTGGAGGAATTGCTGAAGAGGTAGCGTTTGGTTCGATGAGCAGCGGAGGAGTTGAAGTGGAAGGCTTGCATGGAGGCTAATGTTTGAGGTCAGGGGTGTTGGAAGTAGGTGGGTCTTCCATCATAGGCTGGGTTGATTCGTCAGAAGATGAGCAAGGGTCTTTATCGAGCTAAGGTTCCACGTGGGCAACCTTGAGACGGTCAATCGTGACGGTTTCTCGTTTACCACGACGGTCGATGATAAAGACGCGATGTTTACACTGCAGTAACTTGAATGGACCGTAAAGTCGCTTCAGTTGTCTGCGGAGACCATAGAGGCAGAAAAGGAGGAACGGACAATGCTGCAGGTTTTGTGGAACAAATGATTTATCTCGTTCTCTAACCTCGGGAAGCTTGTAGTGACGCATCCTCGTGGCCAGCTGACTAGCATAATTTGCGTCGTAACGGGGAATTCTGATATTATCAGAGAAATCGCCAGGTAAAGGTAATGCTTGTCCATATACTAACTCGGTGCTAGACCTACGTAGCTCAGCCTTTAGGGCTGATGGGATCCCAAAGAGGATAATAGGCAGCACCTCAGTCCAACTCCGCGCATTGGCGGCGTTAAGTGAGGCTTTCAGCTGTCGGTGGAAACCTTCCACTATGCCATCCGTCTGCGGATGGTAGGCGGTCGTGCGAATGCGTCGGCATCCAATGAATTTAAGTAACTCGTTAAATCTCGAAGATTCGAATTACGGACCGCGGTCTGTCGTCACTGTGGCTGGACAACCCTGTGAAGCGACCGAGCGCTCGACGAAAGAGCGTGTTACGGTTTCCGCAGCTACGTCAGGGATGGGAACGGGTTTGGGCCAACGGGTGCAACGATCGATCATGGTCACAATGTAGACCATTCTTTTGGACGGGGCCAAAGGTCCCACTGTATGGAGATGGACATGGGCAAGTCGCACTGAAACGGGTGGAAAACAACCAAGCGGAGCGGACACGTGCCGCTGGATCTTGGCTTGCTAACGGATGAAACAGCTGCGTGCCCAGCGCGTACGATCGCGTTGTAACCCCCGCCAAACGTATCTCTCGGAGACAAACTTAGCAGTAGCTTTAATGCCTGGGTGGGCGATATTGTGGAGGTTGTCGAAAACGATACGGCGCCAGGTTTTAGAACGACGGGTCGAGATCGTCCGGTAGATGTGTCGCATAAAATTGTGCCATCAAATGACGGCAAATGGTGTGGGAATATCTTCAAAGAAGAATCGTGGAGTTCCGAGAATCTCTATTCGTTTTATTTCGCGGCGGCCATAGCAGAAAAATCGATTGTCTTCCCGGCAGGGCTGATCGCGTATGCTCTTGGAAGAGCATCAGCGACTGCGTTTTGTTGACAAGAAATGTGTTGGATATCAGTGGAGAATTGGGCAATAAAATCCAGCTGACAACTCTCACGTGCTGAGTGTCGAGCTGATTGACTTCGGAATGCTAGATGAGCGGCTTGTGGTCGGTGAAGATAATGAAAGTGTTACCCTCAAGGACGTGTCGGAAATGTCGAACGGTAGAGTAAACGGCAGCAGTTCTCGACAACGTGCTGTGCTTGACTTCGGCAGGTTGTAGGCATCTAGAGTAGAAAGCAAGAGGTTTCCAGCATCCATCTGTATGTTGTTGTAGGACAGCGCCATTGGCGGTGTCCGATGCGTACAACAACACTGAACGGAGCCTTCGGATCGAAATGGTGAAACATAACGGCTTTGGCTAAGGCCTCTTTGCTAGCCTTGAATGCTTCGGTAGCAGCAGCAGCAGCAGCAGTCAGTTCTACCTGACCGTTTTAACGTCCACGAAGTAGATCGATTAGTGGACTTAGCAAATTGGTACATTGTGGAAGAAAACGTCGATACTAGTTGAGCATGCCGTTGAAACGACGAATAGCGGCTAACATAGTGGGGACCGGAAAGTTTGATGGCGCGGACTCTATCGTCTAGAGGCCGTATGCC